CGTCCATTTGCCTCCTCTACAGCTAATGGTGCCTTCGCTTACCTATCGTGCCGAACTGAACTGGGTAGCCAATGGCTAATTTGATGACGTCATCCGCAGAACGCCTACATGTACAGTGTACATGCACATTGCATAATTGCCCACAGTACATGCAGTATCGCCTACTTGCAATAGACCACGTTGTGTTCGATGTAGCTTGGCCCGCAGGCAAACCCTGTCTCGGTCCAAGGTGAAAAATTAAAAGACACAGTCCTACCGTGTATTTCTCGAACCGAGACAGTGTTTGCCTGTGGACCAAGCTACATCGAACACAACGTACAATCATGCAATGTACATGTACACTGCACATGTCGGCGTTCTGCCGATGACGTCATCAAATCAGCCTGGGAGCGCGAACGGGCAAAAGGGGATTTTTGTGGGCGGGGAAACGCAGGATCGTTGAAATGGTTACGTATTTATTGTTATTTTGAAATACATGTACTTCACGTGAACCAAATGTTTTCAATTTCTGTTAACCTTTAATACGCTAGCTCTTTGTTCATTACATAGTTGTGTCCTATTAAGCGGGGATAACTTACACTGGAGCAGTTTCATTCACTGTCAGAAGATGAAGTCGCACCAAATATGGAACAAATTGCAGTCGCTTACGTCTCGAAGTAATTATATACCGTAAATTGGCTTGTGTCAGTGCACTGTTAATGACTTAGTTGAAAGGCTTTGGAGGCTTGCTTCACGATAACATTTGAGATATTGGTGATTATGCGATTGAAGTTTGCTCGTGGGGTTCCGAGGGAAAGGTAGGCGAAATGGAAATGCGCAAAAAAGCACGCAAAGGGACGGAGTATCAGCCTGTTTGCCGGATATTTGTGTGTGTAGTAAACTTATGTTGATTGAACCTCGTAACTGGGGCATTAGGGGCACACGTCGTCAGTTTTATTCACGGCGATGTATATGGGACAAATTACCATGGCGTACGCCTTTATTGAAATTAATAAATTAATATCTCCTTGAAAGTAAATTAGTCCGTTCAATATTTCAGGAGGATTAATCTGCTCTTTTTTGGGGGGGGGAGACGTAGATGTGAAATTCTAATTTCCCATGGGACCACGGGGAAACACATAATGTGAAATAGGGAAACGTACCCTCTTGTGAATACACCGACAATAGGCCACATTTTCAACGAGATTATTCTAATAGTTGGTCGTACACTAAGCCCACCGAGTTACTTGTTACACCGAGTGTAACACTATAATGTGCATATGATGCTTCGCAACAAGTGGCCTCTGCGCCAAATGGTGACTAAATTTTCTGCTTCGATTTATAAAGTCTCGTGACCTTAAGGTCAAATGACCTGATTATTACATACGTTATATTAAAAATTAAAGTTTAATGTAAAAAATACAATTAACATTATCGCCAGTTGCTCATTAAAATTTAAATCCCAAAAGTACAAATATTGCGTGTCACAAAATGAACAAAAAACAAATACCAAGAGATTAAAAATAATCAGGAAGTGAATTTGGAATGTAAAAATAAAACAGTGCGTCGTCTAGGCATACAGATTCGTCTCAGCAGGTAAGATCCAATGTGTCTGTAGTTCTCTAGTAGTAGTCATCTGTTTATGTGCCTTCAATGGTACTCGTAGTTGGCGGTAAAATTAGCGAGTTGTTATTTGCACTTTTTGCCGTGCAGTTGTCCGTGAAGGAGGATTTCTTTGGAGTGCGTTGTTTGGGCTGTGTAACATCCCAGGAGAGCACTACAGGCAATACCGTGATTACAGGAAGTCACCGTGCGATAAGATCTTAATCTGTCGGCATTAAGAAGCTCTCCTGGGCCTCCGCTCGCGTCCACTCATTGGGTACATTTTCCCTGTCGTGATTTGCTGAAGACAATCGGATTATTTGTTAGACATTTTTCCTCAACGTTCCTTTTGAAGGGGCGTAATCCAACACGTCAATTACCCCACCCATTCCTTTACGGTATTGTAGTCATGCGACAACAGTCGTCGAGTGCCTGGCAAAAGGTCGTAAGCGCGCTTTCTCCCTTTTGCCTGAAAACATGATCGCAGCAGAAAAAATGTTGTAGACAAAAGGCCGTAAGAACCACACTCACTCTATTTAGTAAAAAGGGATAAAATTTAGTACAAAATCAACACAGGCTGTACAAAAGCAACCACTGAACAACTTATTCAGCGACTTGGAAACTTTTGTTTGTAACTTTCGCAAAGAAATCTTTTGTATTTCATTGAAATAAAACAGCTGCATACATACGTCCTTTTGTCGGGAAAAGTGTGGCGCTTACGTCCTTTTTCCAGGCACACTTTTTTACACAAAATCTCGCCAGGGTCTCCTTCAGTGTCACCCACCCCGTAAAACAGAACACACACAACAACAGAAGCAACAACAAATTAACACCAAGTTCATCACACTCAACTGTGATTCACTCCATTTTCTTCGTATTTATTATTGTTTTGTTACTGTCATAACTCTAGTGTCACATTTTGCGATGGGGGAAATGTGGACAGCTATTATTCGACAACACTAGTGAATTTGCTCGTAGGCCCAATGGTCCTAATTTTCATTCTGACTAGTAATTGTTTGCAGGTGGAACGAGTAGTTTGTTTGTCGATGCGTGTACTCGGAAATTCATTTGGTTTTACGTCGTTTTTAAACTTCATGTTTTAAGGTTAACTCGACATTTCAAAACTGTTCCCCACTTCCTTGTAAATATGCTAAATTCCCCAAAGTAGCTTTGTTTGAAGTTTTTCTTCTATGTCTCATTTGTTTTTGATAGCTCTAATCTACAGTAAAGCAAAGTATTGTTAGCCAAGTTTTAAGTTTAATACATTGCCAAGCCTTGAAAATTATCTGAATTTCTTCATCATTGAAGCATCTGATTTCGACCCAAAACGCCCCCTTTTGTTCCTATGCATAAGCTAAACATATGCCAATTGGCTCAGGTCGAGAACAGCACTTTTACAGCTTGAAATGCGTCTGTAGTTGCCTTGACTTGGTCCCCTTCGAGCCCGTCTTTGTCGCCACGTAAATAACCTAATTCTATCACAGCATGACCTTAAGGCATTAATTGGAGATAAGCTAGACACGGGTCTGCTTTCTAAAATCATTTCAATACAACGTAGTGGATGAAAGTAAAATAAAAAGTGACGGCCGTGGGGGTGTAACAGGAAATTGCTGTCAGACTGCACATTTAATAAGTTTGATAGCATATTTGATGAGCTTTGCCAACGTAAAATTCGTTTTGAACAAAATTATCAAACACCTCTAAAAGAAATTCTAAAAGCCTAAATCATTTATAACGAAACTGCACAGCATAAAATAGCAGGATGTTCCATCAGCAATTGCGAATTATAAACAAAATTAATTAAAAGGGAATCGAAAATAGAACGTTTGAAAGCACAGTAATGGGTCTAATTCCCAAAAGCACCTTTACATGCCTTCCTCAGTCTCTAAGCTAAGAAACATAAATGATTTCTTTCGTGTCTGTGTGTGTTTGTGTGCATTTGGAATAACAAAAAATCCACGTAAATTCACTTTCTTCCTGGAAATGATAATTTCGAATTTTATAGTAATGAGGAAATTCTAAGAATGTGCATGGAATGTTCTGAAAACGACACAGGCTACAACGAGATTCCAATACTTAAGGACTGTAAGTTCATGACAGATTTAACAAAGAGCTATTCTGAAACAGAAAAAAGGATATTTATACTGATCTTATTTACAGTTCTGTAAATAACTGTTTCAACACCCAGCAACATTTAGCGATTTTGTACAGTAGCATTCACTGAGCGGCTTTACTGCATGCGTCTTAGTGTATGACAATTAAGATTAAAACAACCAATTGTTTCTAATTTCTGCACCGTGCCTTAACGATAGCTAACATAAACCTGAAGTAATCCGTTAACATCTCTGATAATGGCGCGCGATTTACTGGTGTGCACTCTTAACATTAATCCTTGGGAAGATTGACCTTTTTAGGTCAAAACGTCACATTTTCCCAGGTCATTCTGACCTATTTTCTTTTGATCATTTTGATCCCGAAATGGTCATTGTTTAACCCCAACAAAGGTTTGGACCCCTGGAACCCGAATTTAGAATGATCTTCGAATCTTTTCAACATAATTTTTGAAAGTAGCCTTTGATTGAGTGGCCTTCTGGTCGGGCGTTTCAATCAATCTCAACGACGAGACCCATTGAGAGTCAGTTTCTTTGGCACAAGTGCCGTTAGCCTCCCTTAGCATCAATTCAGCAAAGTTAAAAGCCTTTTTGGGGGGCAATGTATTCCTTTATGCGTTCTTTTTGAGAAGCTTTTTTGTCATCTTTGCTGTGTTTGTCATTGTGACCTTTAGAAAACTTCTGCTTAATAGATCGAAACGTTTTCGAAGAAAAAGGGCTTACACGGTTTACTCTAAAGTTTATCATTTTGCTGACACTTTCGACAACTACATTTAACTAAATACTTGAACTTCGGACAAATGTTGGGCATGTCTTGGTAGTGCATGTCATGTCGTGCTTTTTTCGAAAATGTTGCTGTGTCCGGAAAATTTGTTTTTATTCGTGATTTAGAACGTTCTCTTTTTACCCAGTTTCGAGTCCCACCCTGAGAAGCTTAGAAAACCCAGAAAGAGCAAAGGTTTAGAATTATGTGCGTTAATTAAAGAGTAACAGAAATTTAAGCGTTCTGGCAATGACGTCATCCAATCAGCCAGGGAGCGCGAAAAGCCAAAAGGGGATTTTAAATTTATGATGTTTTGAAAATGGTTAGGTATTTATTGTTTTTTTAAATACTTCACGTGATCTAAATGCTTTCAATTTCTGTTACCCTTGAAGAGTTCCTGCCTTGACCATAATTTATGCAGAAAAAACTTCAGTTCAGTATAAGCGTGCACTGGACACTGTAACTGTCCGTAGATCGACCACTGTAACTTGCGTTATTTGTACACAACGTGGCTTAGATTGTGTCACTCATGCCACGACTGGCGTTCAAAGTCTTTGACTGTTTTCTGCTGCGTAACCGTGATTAACCCGTGAGCTGGCGGCTGTGCTGCAAGTGTTACGCTGGCTGGATCTGCCCTTGGGATTTTTACGACACCTTATCATGTAGCCAAAAGCCTCTTTGAAATCTGGGTGCGAGGTTGCATAGATGATGGGGTTGACGCAGCTATTGCAGAATAGAAAGGCCCCCGCCCAGGGAGTGACGCGGTAGGTCCAGTCTGCCGTGACTGTGATAGCCATGAAGTAAGGGGTGAGACAGAGGACGAATGCCAAGACGATGTAGAGCAGGTTCTTGGTGACGTCAAGTTGCCTCTTCCACAGCTTCTTCCTCATGACACGGCTTGATACTCCGCCGCTGACTTTATCTGAGACGGACGGGGCATCTATTCGGGCCATCTTCTGCGACGTCTTCCGGACATAGCAGAATATTGAAGTGTAGCAGACCACAATGATAATCAACTGAACCGGATAGTAGATTGCCGTGACTAATATGTTGTAATAGAATGAGTATGGGTTGGATCTATCCCAGGTACAAGTCGAGTAAAGCTTTTCGTAGCCAAGTTTACCGAAGTCTGTCAGAACTGGAGTCAAGCCGCAACACAGTGGTAAAGCCCAGGAGAAGATAACCATTAGGGCGAGCTTACGGGTGGTATAGATGCGACGGGTGGTGAAGCAAGACTTGGTGATACCCACCCAGCGGTTGACGGCGATCAGCGCGAGGTTGTTGATGCTGCAGCCGTAGGTGACAACGATGACGAATCCCGCCATGGCGCACACCCATCTGGCGGCAGGTATCGGCCAGCCGTCACTGCCGAGGATCGCTACCGCCTGCCATGGTAGAAAAAGGCAGGTCAACATGTCACCAAATGCTAGGTTGACCACAAAGACGTTGGTAGTTGTCCGGAGTTTCCTGGACATGGCAACAGCCGCAAGGACAAAAGAGTTTCCAAGACTCCCAACTACGGTGGCAACGATAAACATGGCCGATATGATCTGCCTTTCAAAAAAATATCTATACGCGATTATTCCATTCTCAGAGTCGACATCGTAAGAGTCTGACGAGTTTTCCTTACCTGATGCAAATGGGGTGGTGTTTGGTGAATTTTCCATGGTTTGTCTGTGTACGCTTCTTATTGATGTCCGGGACAAGATTGCACTTGGATTCTCGCAAGGAAAACCGTCAGCCAGTGTCCAATTCAACCAACGGTTAAAATGGCACCCGAAAGGTGTCGACCGTCGTAGCCACTAGATTCTTCTCGAGACAAGTTTTCACTCCCTTAAAACTTTATCGACAAATCACCAGACCTCCAAAATTCAAACTGGTATCCCTTCGGAAGGCGACGTGACTCTGGTGACACTGTCTTTCAAGAAGTGTTAGGATGACGGACGGCTTTTATTCAACAGCGTGGTCTTCCTTCCTATCGCTTATCGTTGCTCGAAGACTCTTTACCACCGATTGGTTTGTCCCTGGCTGTCATACGTTGGTGTGTCTTTAAATGCGCGAATCCCTGTACATTGTGTTCTTTATTAGCGTAACTTTAATCATACAGAGAGACTTTGATGACAAGGAACTATCGACATCTTGGCAGTTTTGACAAATCGATGCAGGTCTTGGTGCGATTTATGAGGTAAACCTCCCGCTATCGAAGATCATCTGCCACTCAGCAGATGCATTTGGTTGTTAAAAGCAACATGGGCGAACTCTTTCCCCCAGCGAGCTCGTTGATGTGACGCGGACAACTGACAGTTACAGGCTACATAAAGACACATGGTTGTTTAGAATCCCTCGGTTTACGGGTGCACCCCGGTTCAAACACTGCTGTGCGCATGCGCTTCGGGTTGCCACAGCATGAGAACAGTATTTGCATGCAGTGCAAAATGACACTAAACCTTAAAAGCATTTGTCTTTGCAACGTTTGCGTGACCTTTCTCCGCCGTCTTGATAGCAAAAGAGTTGGTAAAATTCGCCGTTATTGCTGCTATTGTTACAGATACTGCTGCTAGCTTGAAAAAGTGCCAACAGTTAACGACTGGGAAAGGCAGCTATTTTGTGCAAAAACAAAACAAAAAATCAGAAAAAACTCTACAAGGTCTTAATTGATTCATTTATTATAGGCTCATATATGCAAAGTATACAGCACCAACGTAATTGGGGGAAAAACGTCTCTGCTGTGAGAATTCAACAATCTTGTGACTAATTTAATAAATACTAATTTCCCAACGGAGTTTAGAAAAAACCAAGAACATTTCAGAAGAATCCGTAAATACGTCGTTTATAACTTTTTGTGTTACGACTTTTCTTCCTCGACACCGCACACAAAACAGTAGCATTACAGGAGGTAACAGAGTTTACCTGTTGCATTTTTTCATAAGATTTTGAATTGGAGGGTATATGTATTTATAATGTAAGGTATTGTATTGAACCTCCTGGAGTGTCCTTGATGTAACGATGGAGAGGCGAGCAAAAGTGGTAAATCAATAGTGTCAATCCCTAAAACTGCAACCGCTGGTGAATTAGATTCTTCAATTATCCTTCAAGGGAATTCCATTCACCTCCCAAAGTATACAAAAAATCATCCAACAACACTTTGCATTAAGGAGCGCAGACACATAAACGTTTTGGAGCTAGGTTGGTAAAGTCGGTCGATAGTATTAGTTTAAGGTGACTTTAGATGAAAAGGCTGAAGGAGCCGGAGATGAGGTACAGCGTCGAGTAACCAAACCCCTCACAATTAATAAACATCATTAAGAAACATTTTGGCGGCCAGCTTGCCTCAACTGCTGTTACTTTTTGTCACTTTAATACATCATGACTAGTCTTCATCAGATGTGCACCATTAACAGATCAATAAGCCTTTTGCGAGTTAAATTTTAATGAAATCTGGTCCACTGAGTTCTTTAAATTCACGTGAACACAACAATTGGAATTCTCCATACTAAAGCTGCTGTTGCTATACCTCGTGATTCGGGGCAAGCTTTTCCTTAGTTACATAAGAGACGCCTTGCAACAATATTTTGTTCTCAATAGAAAAGAAAGGCATAAAGGGACCAGTCCACCCTAGAGATGGTGGTCGCTGAGCAAAAGGTTGCTCCGAATCCTGAGGTATAGCAACAGTATTTTTAGTCTAGGGAATTCAAATTGTTATTTTTATGTGCAATTAGATAACTCAGTGTACCAGATGGCTTATGGCAAATGGCTTATTGGAACTTTTAACAAAACAAGACTGAACACACGGAGGAGAAGAGCTTCCAAAGTCACTTGTCGTATTAAAAGGTTTGCGTATTTTCAATAACCCGTGACGCATACACCGATTGTTTTCACATTATGGAGAGATCATGCGTGCCATTTTCGGATCGGTGCAGTCCGGCACATGTATTGACATTATCCATTGTCTTAGATTTAAACCGATGGAAAGTGGGACTGCATAAACAGATCCTGAAATAACTGACTCGGGGTGCAAAACGCAACTGAACGCCAGACCCTGATTACAGATTGGTTTACACTACACGCAAAAATGATTCAAGTGGAAAATGGATTGAAATGAATAGCGGATAATTTGCCACGCACAAAACACTGTAGATCTTGAGCACAAAGGCAGGGAATTAAGAATCGATTTTCTTGATTCTGAAGGATTTAAAAATTTTCTAGATCCAGCAGTCGTGGTGTCATGTGAAAGGGCACATGCTCGTCTTTCGATTCATGCACATTTCTTATCTTCCAGTTGAACCCAGACTACCTGTAGTTCTGTCACGTACCTGGTTTTTTGCTATCTCAATATGGTCAAACAATCAGTATGTCTCACTGTTGTAATGAGATGATAAGCTATTCATGACTTTTTTGGTTACGATTGCTGTTACATTTCATCTGAATACTCAAGGGTTTGTCGTCTTCCACTTAGAAATTCGTCGTAATTATAAAGCGGCAAATTAATGAATTCAAGAGCCTTGCACGTGGAGACGTTTCCGAATATCAAGGCACCCTTTAAGCACAGCCATTTATTACTAGTGCACGGGGAGTGGTTCTATCACATAATGCAATGCAGTTTATTACACTCTATTTCACGATAGGTTACGATGGCCAAGTTCAGCAGTAGCTCTGTCAACGCCCGTTTCGTTTTAAGTATGCTCAGAAGCATGTATATTGTGACGTCATGCTTTGTTTACTTTCTTTTTACAGAACATCAAATCCGTTGTCCCCACTAGTATCTCGTAAGAGAGTAAACAAAGCGTTGGACCGCCAGTGCATATAGGCCTGTTATAAAGAAATTCTAATACCACTTCATATGCATTGATATCTACCAAAACAATACCTCATATTATTGCCTGTCTCTTGTATGAACGACCAGCGTTCGCAGAAATCACCCTTGATTTGCCAGATTTGTTATTTATTGGTGTTTTTAGTACATGTATCTTTCATTTCGTATTTTTATAGCTGCTCGAAATATTTAAACATTTTGTGAATAATTATTAGCTCCGCAGAGCTACGAAAAATAAGACTTGTTTTTCCCCTGCCTTTGGATCGTTTCTAATTACCAACCCCCTTGGTGGGTGGTTCCATGGCCAGCCGTGGTTTTGCTGCCACTCTTTGGCCTAAATTTAGACCGTGACGTAGATAATGAGAGCTCTACAGAGCTACGAAAAGGAGTGTGATTTCTTCATATTATTTTCCTTGCCCTTGGATCCTTAAAAATTACATCCACCTTCGTATTTATTTCCGCGGAAATCACATCCGGTGGGGTCCAGTGCTTCAATTAAGATTGTTTTGATTTCATATCCAGCCGCTTATATGTCGCTCCCTATGTAAGGCCCGAGGGAAATTAACTTTATACATGTACCATTAGCTCTCTCATGTTCGGCCTCATCATCGCCTCACAGAGTAGCTCTGTTTGGCTCCGGTCACTAGCCTGTAGATGGAGTCTACAGTGGCGGTTTGATTGTAATCAGCTGTATGGCACATTAGTATTTACTATGTTTATGTGTATATTGCACTGAGAGTCTAAATTGATTATTGCTGGTCGTTATTAAGGAATGTGCTACTAAATGGCCGTCCCACTTGGAAAAATGTTCTTCTTGTACTCTAACTGTTGCGGTATACTGTTTTTGGATAAGCCATTGTCTCGCTGATGAAGTCCTGCTGAAATCCCTCTCGAAAGGAAAAACGTATTACCTGCCTGTATTTCATTCATCCTGCACAAGATTTATGGAAGACCTTCGCGACGTCCACACACACGATTCAGCGACGTTTCAGTGAGCATTCCCCATGGCCCTCTTAACCCTAACCCTTAAGGTGTAAATGAAAGAAAACATTGTGTTGTCAAGCAACAAGTGGCTCCGTACAGTGGTTAGCACAATGCTTTCTGCCATTGGCAACCAGCTGGTGATACCGCGATGCATGGTCTCCCGATTCCTCTGTATAGGTGTGATGAAAAGATAAACGTTCCCGCAGAGATACCGTGTTAGACCTATGTCATTTTGGCCTACGTTTTGGCAAAGGCAAGTACTCGACTACTCGCTGACACTTGTGATCAGCTGTTAGAAATACATCTATTTAAATACCAGTTAAAGGGTGTATTGTAAAATAAATTGGGGTGTGTGTTCAAACTCGTAACCTGTTTTTCAGGTATATTGAGTAGCATGAACTGCATGCTTTTTATAAGAATTGAACGTTATTTAAACATAATTGCACAGTAAAGGCCATGATACAGCGTAAATATGCTGTCTTGCTGAATGAGAGCGTTTACACCCAGAGTGCACCTGACGGCTTTTGCCGGGAGTGACGTCCGAAGATCGTGGTTCTGGGACAATTTACAACCCAAGGTTGTTGCAAATGGACTTTTCCCGGCATCCAGCTCTATTATCACTCAGATATCCACTGACCCGATAAAGCAATCCGCAGCACAGGGGAAAGTTTTCGACTTTTTGTAAAAGGCTACCGCAAGACTGAAATGTAGCGATTGAGATGCGTGAAGACAGAGAATGTCCTCGATTATACTGTCAGCTGGCTTCGAGGGCTGTCTGCCCGTCACTTTGAACCCTAGGTTGAGCCTTCACGTATCACACCGCTGCTTCTCGAAGTTCATTTGCCTGGTGTCGAGTTGGAAACATGAACC